CAGGACTGGACGCTCATCTCCGTCAACACCGTGGGGGCGGCGCTGCAGAGCCTCTACATCCTGGCCTACGTCTACTTCAGCCCCCAGAAGGTGGGTGGGGCAATGCAGGGAATGGGGGTGCCCTGGGGAGTGCGGGGGTATCCTGGGTGGCACCTGGAGGAACAGGGTATACCCGCAGGAGAATGGAGGGTGCCCAGGGGGAACACTGGACGCTCATCTCCGTCAACACCGTGGGGGCGGCGCTGCAGAGCCTCTACATCCTGGCCTACGTCTACTTCAGCCCCCAGAAGGTGGGTGGGGCAATGCAGGGAATGGGGGTGCCCTGGGGAGTGCGGGGGTATCCTGGGTGGCACCTGGAGGAACAGGGTATACCCGCAGGAGAATGGAGGGTGCCCAGGGGGAACACATGGCACCCGGGAGGGACGGGGGTGCCTGGAGGAAAAGGGGGATGCCCGAGGGGAACGTACAGAGCCTGGGGGGAGCAGGGGCACCCTGGGTGGTGTCTGAGGGGGATGGGGGATGTCCAGTGGGAACGGGGGCAACATGCAGTGCCTGGGGGGGCAGGTAGTCCTGGCACAGGGAGGGAAGGGGCATTTCTTGGGGGGGGTTCCTGTGCCTGAGCATGGCTGGCTCCGACTGCTCTCTTCCCTTCTCCAGCGCCGGGTGCTGCTGCAGAGCGCGGGCCTGCTGGGGGTGCTGATCCTGGGCTACTGCTACTTCAGCCTCCTGATCCCGGACGCCGCCCTGCGCCTGGCCCGCCTGGGGCTCTTCTGCAGCGTCTTCACCATCAGCATGTACCTCTCGCCGCTGGTGGACCTGGTGCGTGCCGCTCCCTTGGGCCCAGCCTGGGGCGCCGGGCTGACCCTGGGCACCGCTCAGCAGCATGGCCTGGTGCCTGTCGAGCGGGGAGCCCAGCGGTGACCCCAGCCAGCCCCTCGGCTCTGGTTCGGCCCGGGCCTGGCAGGGCAGAGCTGTGGCTCCCGGAAGGGCCTTGCAGGACGCTCCCCTCCGTGCCTGAGCGTAGCCCCTCCTGTGTTGCAGCCAGAGCCGGTCGACCCGGTGCCTGTCCTTCCCGCTGACCGTGGCCACCTTCCTGACCTCAGCCAGCTGGACGCTGTACGGCTTCCAGCTGAGCGACCTTTACATCATGGTGAGTGGGTCGGGGGGGGCCGGTTCCGAGCCAGCCGCCCCGGATGCCTCCTCACCACA